TAATACTTAGCCCTTTCTATTATAAAATGTTGCTTACACACAATTAATCTATTAGGTTAATACAGCAATCACAAAAACTCAATATAAGAGTAGCTTAATTAAAATAATTACACAATTTTGACCATAAGCAATTTTGGTTAATTCTTATCCATTACAAAGATTCTAACAGTAGGGCTTAGTTTGTGAGAGTACATGCTAATATTGCCTCATATTTCTTTTTCTACAGTAAATTTGAAACATAATGCCACCTCAGCTGGCATAAGAAATTCATATATCAATGTGAACAGAGAAAGGGAAAGGGAGTTTAAATACAAGAAGAACAAATCAAAAGCTTCTATTTTTAATGTTATCCTTTTACTATATAAGTAAAGCAAGTATGTTTACGCCAGGGTCCCACTGAGGAGACCTGTCTTGTCATTTGTTAAACTAAATACTCTATAAACATGTGCAAATGGCCCTAAATAAACCTAAAATACAGTTTTAAAAAAATTAAATAAAAAGAATATGCAATAAAGGATTAATACCCCAAATATATAACTTACACAATTCCACACCAAAACAAACAAATAATCCAATTAAGAAATAGGCAGAGAACCTGAATACACCCTTTTCCAAAGATATACAGATGGCCAACAGAAACATGAAAAAATGCTCAACATCATCACTCATTAAGGAAATGGAAATCAAAATCACAATGAGATACTACCTTACACCTGTCAGAATGTCTAGTATCAAAAAGACCAAGAATAACAAGTGTTGGCTAGGATGTGGAGAAGAAGGAAACACTCATGCACTGTTGGTGGGAATGTAAATTGGTCTAAAAACAGTATGGAGTTTCCTCAAAAAATTAAAATAGAAATGCCACACAACTCAGTAATTCTACCACTGTATATTTACCCCCTCAAAATGAAAACACTAACTCAAAAAGATATATGCATCCCTATGTTTATTGCAGCATTATTTACAGGCTAAGTTATGGAAGCAACTCAAGTGTCCATCAATAGATGAATGGATAAAGAAGATGTGGTATATGCATACAACGTAATATTACTCAGCCATAAGAAGAATAAAATCTCACCACTTGTGACAATATGGCTGGAACTAGAGGTATTATGCTAAGTGAAATAAGTCAAAGACAAATAAAACATAATTTCACTTTTACGTGGGATCTAAAAAACAAAACAAAACAAAAAAACAAACAACCAAAAACAAAACAAAACAAAAACCAACCCAAAAACAAAATCATAAATACAGAGAACAAACTGAGTGATTTCCAGAGGGTAGGGGATTAACAGGATCTGTGAGTTAGGTAAAAGGGGTTAAGAGGTACAGGCTACAGTTATAAAATAAGTAAGTCATAGGAATAAAAAGTACAGTGTAGGGAATATAGTCCATAATATTATAATAGTTTTGTAAGGTGACAGGTAGTAGCTACACTTATTATGGTGAGCATAGCGTAAAGTACAGAATTGTGGAATCACTATATTGCAAACCTGAAACTAATATAACATTGTATGATAACTGTACTTCAATTTAAAAAGTTAAAAAATGTCAATCACCTTAAATTGATTAAATTTATTAATGTAATGGATAATATAGTATAAAATAAAACTTAAAAAGGAGAGAAGTGAGAAGTGTTTTTGATTTTTTCCTACTCAGCTTCTAAAAAAAAAAGTTTACTTATATAAGTAATCTCTACACCAAACGTGGGGCTTGAACTCATGACCCCAAGATCAAGAACGGCATGCCCTTCCAAATGAGCCAGCCAGAACCTCCCCGCCCCCAGCTTTTAATACATGCTATGTAATTTATACATATATTTTTTTAACGAAGTAAAAGTGCGGATACAATTTTTTTTATTTGTTGTACATTTTGAATGTTCCATTAAGAACTATTTCATATTTTGGGATGCCTGGGTGGCTCAGTCTGTTAAGCGTCTGCCATCAGCTCAGGTCATGATCCCAGCGTTCTGGGATCGAGTATTGCAAAAGGCTCCTTGCTCAGTGGGGAGCCTCCTTCTCCCTCTGCCTGCCCACTCCCCCCTGCTCGTGTGCGCTTGCTCTCTATGACAGATAAATAAAATCTTAAAAAAAAAGAACTATCTCATATTTTTTGAATGAGAGACTTGAAATGAAATTTAAATTGTTTTTTTTAGAAATCTGCAGTGTAGACTCATCATTATTTCTACTTACTTAAAAACAAAAATCAGAAAAAAGAATTTTATAAACCTTTGAAGATATGTAATACTCTTCAAAGACTAAAGAAAATATGATTTTCAAATGCTTGCAAGTGAATTTTAAGATATAAAAAACCTACTTAAGCATACTGTATTCTTATAAGCTATTGGTTGCAACATAATAAGTAATACAATATAAATGACTTTGAGCACAAATCATATACCATGTATTACATAAAATAGAAAAGAGCTATAGATACAGTTCATGTATCCCAAAAGACCCGAGAAACTCCAAAGATTATATAGTAACTAATATACATATTTAAAAAATGAATATAAAATAGATATGTCAACTAAAAATTGTGCAGTTATTAAATTTAATTTCTTAATAAGCAATGTACTAAAACCTCTTAAGAACTGATGTACTACACAATGGTATTGATGTTATATTAAAATGGCTGGTAGAAAGCAGTCGATAAGAAATTCAGAAATGGGGGTGCCTGGGTGTTGAGTAGGCAGTAGTTGAGTATCTGCCTTCGGCTCAGGTCATGATCCCAGGGTCCTGGGATCGAGCCCCACATTGGGCTCCCTGCTCAGCGGGAAGCCTGCTTCTCTCTCTCCCACTCCCCCTGCTTGTGTTCCCTCTCCCGCTGTGTCTCTGTCAAATAAATAAATAAAATCTTAAAAAAAAATTCAGAAATGTAAAACAATTGCTTGTTTTATATTCATTATATTTTATTGGCAAAGAAATACACATTCATTTTAATAATCAGTGTTTATTTTCTGTATGTATTGTTTGGATTTCACAAAAACATTTTCCAGCATTAACCATTTAAAACTCATTCAGGTAAAGACCAAGAAGCAGGCAAGAATGACTGTGGTAAACAGCCTAATTACAGAAAATAATTCCTATATTTTTACATTACATTTTAAACATTTTTTGAAGATTTTATTTATTTATTTGACAGAGAGAGATACAGCGAGAGAGGGAACACAAGCAGAGGGAGTGGGAGAGGGAGAAGCAGGCTTCCGGTTGAGCAGGGAGCCCACTGCAGGGCCCGATCCCAGGATCCTGGGATCATGACCTGAGCCGAAGGCAGACGCCTAACGACTGAGCCACGCAGGCGCCCCTTACATTACAACATTTCAAAACAATTTTGTGTTTATTTAAGAAAGGATTTTTTTCATGCATAGTCAAGATTTTTTTCTATCATGGTATTAGGTTCCCAGGGCTGCTGTAACAAATTACTACCCATTGGGTGGCTTTCAACAACAGAAATGTATTCTGTCATGGTTCTGGAGTCAGAAGGTCTGAAATCAAGGTGTCAGCAAAGTTGTTGGCTCCTACTTAAAACTGAGGGAGAATCTCTTCCATGCTTCTCTCCTAGCTTTTAATGGTTGCCAGCAATCCTTGGTGTCCCCTGGCTTGTATGATATATCATTCTAATGTCTGCTTTTATCTTCATGTGCCATTCTTCCCTGCATCTCTGTTTCTCTTCTCTTCTTCTTCTTCTTTTTTAAAGATTTTATTTATTTGAGAGAGAGAGAAAGAGAGAGAGCATGAGAGGGAAGAGGGCCAGGGAGAAGCAGACTCCTTGCTGAGCGGGGAGCCCAATGCGAGGCTCGATTCTGGGACTCCAGGATCATGTTCTGAGCCGAAGGCAGACGCTTAGCCGACTGAGCCACCCAGGCGCCCCTCTCTTCTCTTCTTATCAGGACACCACACATATTGGATTAAGGGCCTGCTTTGCTCCGGTATGACTTCAGCTGAACTATCTATATCTGTAGTGATCATATGTCCTTCTAAGAAGGACATGAATTTTTGGGGGGGAAATACTGTTCAACCCGGTGCAGTCACTTTCCATTTAATGTTAAAGAAAAAAATCCCCATACTATACAGGATCCAAAAATGACAGATGAAATAGGTAAATCATTGCTGAATATGAGTGTGATCTCTTATTTTTAACCAGACACTTGGATGGGAATGCACCTTTGGGAATCTTTCTCATTGGGTAGGTAAAAACATTAGGGGCACATTCATTTTAATATCTTTTTCATATACTTTTCTATTTCAAATAGACTTGGTTGAATTATTTTGAATAGCTCAATTAAAAAATTCAGGATTCAAATGATGACAGATTTTATTATGCATCAAAGACATTCTGGGATACTATTAAAATAAACATAATTTACTTTAAATATAAGTTTCATGAAACATTCTCTATGAGAGCTATTAGAGCAATTCTGCATTTTTACTTTGCAATGTGATAAAATGGCATATATCATATTGTAAAATCCCTTTGAAACAACACTATAATTTCAAAAGTGACATTTAACAGTATGATGCATTTTAAAAATAACACTTGAAAATTTTAAATTTGCATAATACTTATATTTAAGAAGACTATATAGTACTACTAAATTATTCCCAAATAGAAATTAAAATTTCTTCCATGATCATTAATTATTTGATCCACACAAAGTCTGTTGCAAATCTGAATATCTAAATTCAGAATTTAGAGCATGCAGATACAATTATAATCTCTCTCTTTTGACAGCTTGAGCTTACATATTTAGATAAATACACATAGTACTCTTCTTTTTAAAAGATTTCCTGATTAGAAAAAGGACTGCATTTCAAAAGTTAAATATAATGCTCAGATAAACACATTTTTCCAGTTTTGAGATGCTGCTGCTCCTTGAACTTTGTGTCATGCTAATATTTCTGACATTTTCTTTCTGAGGAAACAAATGGTGAATACCCTTAATTTCCACACATATATAGTACATCTCTTTAGACAGATATATATATATTTCATACTTTCTTATATTAAGTTGATCAGTAATATACATGAAAAAAAAGAGAAACTGTGAAGTGAAAACTTGAAGGATCAAATGATGAAAACTCTCATAATTTGATGGCTGCTCTAAGCTTGGCTGAGCGTGCTCTGGGGTTATCCTGTACATCCTGATCTTCTGGAGTAAGTACTTTCTTGTGTATCAATTCCCACATTAAAGGGGCCCTGCCTATAGAGGCTCCTTCCTTGTTTTCATGAACTGAACCCAGTTGAAATCCTTGTTTCACTTTCTGTCTAGCACTTAGGTTAAACCTTTCTGTCATGCTTATCCCAAGCAAGAATCGTTTGACAATGCGATCCTCTAATGAATGGAAGGAGAGGGCAACAAGGCGGCCACCAGGTCTCAGAAACTTCTGAGCTGTCTTCAATCCTGTGTAAAGTTCATTGAGTTCATTGTTCACAAATATTCGAAAAGCTTGGAAAGTCTTGGTAGCGATATGGGTAGATCGTTGTAGCAAGTCTTTCCGTGCAAAAACAGCAGATGGAGGAAATGCACCTACAAATAGATTTTGTAAAAACAGGAAAAGAGGACAGGAAAAATTAATATTTTCTACTGTAAATTTACTGGGTTGTGTGTGTATATATTTAAGGAACTACATTTCATTAGAAAATTGTGGCATTTCATTCATTCTTCCATTTTATTTCCAAGCATCCAATCAAGATTTAAACTATGTGTCAGAAACAGCTTTCATAACTCATAAGTAACTGGAGTCAAACAAGTAGAGAAAGAGGCAGACAAATATTAGTGATTAAAAAACTTCCCAACTTGGGTGAAAAATATTAACTCACTGATACAAGAAGTTCAGTGAACTACAAATAGAATAAACAAGAGAAAACCGCATTTAGGTACATCATAATCAAACTACGACAATCTAATCAGAAAAATCTTGAATACAATAAAGAAATACATAAAGGAGAACAAAAATATGATTAACAGTTATTTTCTCATGAGGACAATGGAAGCTATACAAGACTGGAATAGCATTCAAATTGTTGAGGGAAAAAAATCTGTCTTCCAAGAAGGCTATCTAAAACTATTCTTCAGAATTAAAGACATTTTCAAATAAATAAAAAATGAGAGAATTCATTGCTAATATGTCTGCATTCAAGGAATACTAAAGGAAATACTTAATGCTGAAATAAAATGACACCAGATGGTAACTTGCATATACAGAAAAAGAGATTATAGATATATCTATATAGATATCCACATATCTCTCTACATATGAGTTCTTCTCTTAATTTCTTTAAAAGGCAGGACTCTTTAAGTGAAATTATAACAATATTTTTTACATTTATATACATTACAATACAGGTATTAATCTGTGCAAAGGATTAGAGTGGGTAAATGGAGCTATATTTTTGCAAGATTCATATGTTGTACTGGAAGTTAAAGTTGCATATTGTGGTCCCTAGAGCAATCAATAAAAGTAATGCAAAGAAATAAAGCTAATAAACTCAGAGAATAAAAATAGTACACAAAAAAATATTGCTTAACATAAAAGACGGCAGAACAGAACAAGAAAACAGAAATTAGACAAAGAGAAGACAAATAGTAAAATGGCAGACAAAATCAAATATATCAATAATTACATTAAGTATAAATGCATTAAATACTCCAATATAAATGAGATTATCTGACTGAAGAATAGCAGGACCTAACTATACATTGTCTAGAGAAATGTATAGAAATGTACTTTAAATACAAAAATGCAAATAAAAGTAAAAGTAAGCAAAAGGCTGTGAAAAGATATGCCATGAAGACAGAAGCATAAAAAAGAGAGATCGTATTAATATTAGAAAAAACAAACCTTCAAAAAGGAGAACTCCTGGACTCAAAGAGAAACATTTCTTATTGAGAAAAAGGTCAATACAGCAAGAAAGTACAACTGTAAATGCAAATGCACCAAATAACACAGTTATCAAAATTTGGACATCTCCGAAAAAGACACACATTTATAAAAGCAACTGATTTTTGACCAAGATGTTAGGTTAGTTCAATGGAGAAAGAACAGATTTTCAATGAAAGTTGATTATCATAAAAGAAGATGAACTTCAACTCTTACTGCACACTGTACACAAAAATTAATACAAAATGGATCACAGATGTAAGAGTAAACACTAAACCTAAAATATGTATCTGACAAAACTCTTATCCAGAATATGTAAGGAAATCTCACAACTTAATAAGAAGCCAAACCACCTATGTTCAAAAATTTGAACACTTCACAAAAGATATAAGCCAATAAACATATGTAAAGATGTTCATCATCATTAGTCATAAAAATGCCAATTAAAACCACAATGAGTTTTTTTCCTCCCCGGCTGCTTGAAGCCTTGCCGCCATCATGAACGACACAGTAACTATCCGGACCAGGAAGTTCATGACTAACCGACTACTTCAGCGGAAACAGATGGTCATTGATGTTCTTCACCCTGGAAAGGCAACGGTACCTAAGACAGAAATTCGGGAAAAACTAGCCAAAATGTACAAGACCACACCAGATGTCATATTTGTGTTTGGATTCAGAACCCATTTTGGTGGTGGCAAGACAACCGGCTTTGGCATGATTTATGATTCCTTGGATTATGCAAAGAAAAATGAACCCAAACACAGACTTGCAAGACATGGCCTGTATGAGAAGAAAAAGACATCAAGAAAACAGCGAAAGGAACGCAAGAACAGAATGAAGAAAGTCAGGGGGACTGCAAAAGCCAACGTTGGTGCTGGCAAAAAGTGAGCTGGAGATTGGACAACAGAAGGAGTAAAGATGCTGCAGTGGCTTTATCTGTGGTGGTTGTGCAGATTTTTCATGAGAGAATCAATAAACTTAAGAATGTTAATATAAAAAAAAAAATTAAACCACAATGAAATATCACTACACATCCACTAGAACTGCTAAATCCTAGAAAGAAACAAACTACTGAAACTGACCCAAGAAGAAATAGATAATCTGACTAGAACTATTACGAGTGAAAGGATTAAATCAGTAATCAAAAGCAACCCACAAAGAAAAGTCCAGGCCCAGATAGCCTCACTGCTGAATTCTGCCAAACATTCAAATAATTAAAAACATTACTTGACAAATGCTTCCAAAAAATTGAAGAAAAGAAAACACTTCTCAAATTACTTTATGAGCCCAGTATTACTATGAAACTAAAACCACAGGCATCACAAGAAAATTACAGATCAATATCTCTTATGAATCTAAACATTAAAATCCTCAACAGAATACTAGCAAACCGAATTCAGCAGCATATTAAAAGGATTATACACCATGACCAAGTGGGATGGTCATGGTTCAACAAATGAAAATTGATCAATGTAATATGTCAAATCGACAGAATGAAGGAAAAAACCCACATGATTATGTCAAATGATGCAGAAAAAGCATTTGAAAAAATTCAACACCTTTCATGATAAAAATACTCAAGAACTAGGAATAGAAGGAAAGCACCTGAGCATAATGAAGCCCATATGAGAACCCAAAGCTAATATTATACTTAATGATGAAAGACTAAAAGCTTCTCCTTGAAGATCATGAACAAAACAAGAATACCCATCTTCACCACTTCTATTCAACACAGTACTGAAAGTTCTAGTCAGAGCAATCAGACAAGAAAAAGAACTAAAAGGCATCAAAACCGGAAAGGAAGTAAAATTATCTCTGTTTACAGAGGACAGGATCTTATATGTAGAAAACACTAACGATTACATATGCACAAACCCTATGAGAACTAACAAATGGATTCAGCAAAGCAGCAGTATATGAAATTAACATGCAAAAATCAGCTGTGTTTCTATCCTTAATAATTAACAATCCAAAAAAAATTTTTTTTTAAATTCCATTCACAATGGCATCAAAAGGAATCAGATATTTAGGAATAAAGTTAACAAAAGAAAGGTAAATCTTATGTTATGGAAGCTACAAACAATATTTAAAAAAAAATTGTTTAAGATGGCAAAACTCCAAATTAGTTTAAGATTCAATGCAATCTCTATCAGATCCCAGCTGACTTTTTTTTAGACAAATTGACATGCTAATTCTAAAATTCATATGGAATTGTAAGAGACCCAGAACAGCCAAAATGATCCTGGCAGGAGGGGGCGGGGCGGTGAGGGGAAGAGAATGAAGAAGGAGGACTCACACTTAGGGATTTCAAAACTTCCTAAAAAGCAATGGTAATTGAGACAGTGTGGTGCTGGTACAACAATGGACATAGAGATCAATGGAATATAATAGAAAGCTCAGAAATAAGCCCTATGAGCAACTGATTTTTGACAAGAATGTCAAAGCCATGCAATAGGGAAAGAATGGTTAATTGAACAAATAATGTTAGGACAACTAGATAGATAGTCATATACTAAAAAATGGAGTTGGACCATTAAATCACATAGAAAAATTAACTCAAAATGGATCAAAGACATAAATGTAGAGCAAAAACTATAAAATTCTTAGAAAGAATTATGTCTTAGAAAGAAAACACAGGGATAAACATTAATGACTTTGAATTTGGCAAAAAAAAATTCTTAGATATGACACCCAAATCACAAGCAACAAAAGAAAATTGTACATCATCAAAATTAATTTTGTTATTCAAAGGACACCATCAAGAAAGTAAAAAGACAACCGGAAGAATGGAGAAAAAATTGCAAATCATGTATCTGATAAGGGATTAATGTATCTACAATATGTAAAAGAAGAAAATTACAAAATGATACATGTATGATACTATTTACATTTTAAAAGATGCACATCAAAACAGACAAACTCCATTTAGTTTTCAAGAATAGGATAAACAAAAAATGTTGATTTTTAAATAAATCAATAAATATAATTTTCCTTAAACTTACTCCATTGTCATACAAATATGACATTAAAGTATAATGTTCAATGAACTTACAAAGGAATTTTCTATTTAATTTTTTTACTTGATTACTCATGTCTTAAAATTTTTGTTCCTAGAGAATATTATCCCATAGAAATGTAATCCTTGTGGTCCAGATTCTCTGTGGATGAAGATCAGAAAGTATGGCTGCAATCCTGGCACTTGAGTCTCATTGGCATGCTTCTTACAGCAAAGTAAATTATACAAAGCTGGTGCCTTAGTTCACATTTTAGTAACCTGTAGGTCCAGTAGTACATGAAACAATCAGAGAAAGAAAGAAAGAATACCATACTTGTACCAGGGAGCTGAGAACCTGGCTGTCTAAAGTTAACCAAATCCATGGTATGGGTTCACTCTTTCATCCACAAAAACTACTCTGTTGAAAGGCTAGTTCAGACGTTAGGGAATATATCTTCTAAGAAGCAGGTCTCTCAGAAAAAAATATCAAAGTCAAAGCTAAAGAGGGAGGTCAACTTTTTTTCTATTTGTTAATTCAATCACTCCATGTTCCACAGAAAGAGTTTTGGTCACTGGGAAATGTATTTTAAAATATTCTAAAATCTGAACAAATATACAACTCTTCATGTTTTAGAGCTTGGATTTAGA